ATCTAAAGAAAACGATTTCATGAAGTAAATTAACAAAACTATAGTGAACTATATTTCACTACCTTTTAAGATTAAAAATTCTGAACAAATACAGTTCACATATTTTCTTACAAGTTTTTCAAGTTGCTGATCCACCCACCCATCTGCTTAGTAAATGTGGTTATTCTGTAGAAAGACAAACTTATCTTATAACTTATCTAATAATGAAAAAAACACGTTTGCTAAATATCTACCACTATACACTATTGTGAATAACAGACACTGTTCTATGTACTAGCTGTAAAGAAGCAAACAGTCAAACATGATCCCTCCCATTACGAAGTTTACAATTTAGGAAAGAACATTTCTTTTACCAGAAACAAATCCTAAGAGTGAAAGAGATAATGAAGCCTAAATCTCTCTTAGCACATGACAGCAAATATATTCCTATTTAGGAAGATCTATAAGAATACTTTGTGGAGGTGAGGATAACTGTGTAAAAATGTACTGAATAAATTCTATACTATCATTTTTGCATTTACACAAATCCATTTAATGTATAAAGTGGTTTGTTTTTTTACATGTTTGACCTAATTTGGTCTTCTCAATAGCCTATGTGAAAGGGCAAGATGTGGTGTTTTTATTTTAATAGACAAAAAATTTTTAACTTAGTATAACCCAAACACATAAATCTTGGAAAGCTAAGATGAAGTGCATGAGTCGACACTCAACCACTGAGCCAAGTTGGCCGGGCTGGGGAGAAAACTCTTAATGATCTAGGCTACACCATAAAATGTTGGACCAAAAGTTGGTGGCAATGACACCTGGGACTTGTTTTAAGGTTGCTCTTTTTTTTTTTTTTTTCAGAGAGGAAGGGAGAGAGATAGTTAGAAACATCGATGAGAGAGAAACATCGATCAGCTGCCTCCTGCACATCTCCTACTGGGGATGTGTCCGCAACCAAGGTACATGCCCTTGACCGGAATCGAACCTGGGACCCCCCAGTCCGCAGGCCGACACTCTATCCACTGAGCCAAACCGGTTTCGGCAAGGTTGCTCTTATTTTAATAAAGCACTGGGATACATCCCCAGTTCCTGACAAGGTTACACATGAGGCTCAGTGGTCAACGCAGCAGCCATGTTGGTGAAATCTATCTAGAGAGAAGCCCAGTCCCCTGTGCCCAGTGCCCGTTTCACCAAAGGAGCCACATCAGCATGCCAGGTCTTCCCTACCAGCATGTAAGGCAATTCGGACCCTGCTACTACATGTTCACTCATATCAGGTAATCACACTTGCAAATGCCAGCCATGCCTAACCACTTCAGAACATACCACCTAGACATCAATAATACATTATTTTACAGACCAATCAAAACATGGACTAACATTATCTTTACCCTGGCATCCAGGGTCAACAGTTTTCTCATTTTACACATAAAGAATCTAGGAATATCAGAGACAATGTGACTTAATCTAGATCATTAAGCTTGTTACTGGCAGGGTCATTACTAGAATCAGTCTTCTTTCCACCATATCAGGTTAAACTCTAGCTAAACATTTTGCCCCAAATCAGGAATGCTGCATTACAAAGAAGCTCTTCTACTCACACACATTCAGGCTTCCATGGATGAGGAAAAAAAGCTATGCCTAGAAAAAGGTATCTAATTTGATTTGCCAAATAAAAAAAAAAAGAGCTATACACCAGGTGGTTTTATAGGTAAATTTTATCTAACAGGTAATTCCCATTTATTCAAGTTATTAGACATCAGATAAAAATATGGGCGTTTCCCAAGTCATTTTGCTATGCTGTCACAATCCTAGCCCCATACCTAATAAGAGAGCATGGAAAGGAAAACCACAGTTCAATCTCATTTCAGGAAGCAGATGAAAGTATTTATAAGTGTAAACCCTTAAAGAATATTTACTATGGCCTTGGCTGGTGTGCCTCAGTTGGGCATCGTCCCATGCACTAAAAGGTTGCTGGTTCGATTCCCAGTCAGGATACACACCTAGATTGTCGACTCAATCCATGGTAAGAGGCGTGAGGAGGCAGCCTATCAATGTTTCAGTCTCATATCGATGTCTCTCTTTTCTCCCTTCCCCTTGCTCTAAAAATCAATAAACTATTCTTTTTTTAAAAAAGAATATTCACTATGAATCAGACACTGTTATAGACAACTTATGTGTATTAAATAATCCTCATAACAAATCTTTGAGATGCATACTATTATTATCTCCATTTTATAGAAGGGAAAGCTGAAGTACAGGGGATCAAGTAACATCCAAAAGGGAACGTGATTAGTAAATGATAAAACTAGAATCTATATCCAAATAGTTTGGCTCCAAAATGTTGGGAAATTAACCTAGCTATGTATTATATTAAAAATATGTAGGGATTACTCCAGGAAAGCAAGGATTATTCAACACAAACAATTATATTTATAATAATAAAAGCATAATATGCTAATTAGACCAGATGTCTTCTGGAACGAAGCTGGGGCTGCAGTTGCCATGGCTGCAAGGGAGGGATCCAGGCAGCTGGCAGCAGCTGCAAGGGAGGGATTCAGACAGCCGTGGCTGCGAAGGCCTACTCTAGCACAAATTTTGTGCATCAGGCTTCCAGTTAATAAATAAAAGAAGAAAAAAGGTAAGTGTATTAACAGAAGCTTTAAAAATTTAAAAGATACATTTCTTATAAAATATTCTTAAATAAGCCCTAGCTGGTTTGGCTCAGTGGATAGAGAGTGGGCCTGTGAACTGAAGGGTCCCAGGTTTGATTCTGGTTAGGGGCACATGCCCGGGTTGTGGGATTGATCCCCAGTGGGGGAGGGATGTAGGAAGCAGCCAACTGATGATTTTCTCTCATCATTGATGTTTCTATCTCTCTCTCCCTCTCCCTTCCTCTCTGAAATCAATATATAATTTTTAAAAATATTCTTAAACAAGAACGATAAAGACTACTTATCTGCAAATACCATCAAACAACAAATGAAATTAGTAAGCTGCATGAGGAGTTGTCTGTTTAGTTCACTACTGAAGTCCCACTGCCTAGTAGCCTGGCACATAATATATACTAAGTACCTTTTGGATAAATATAAAAAACATAAAACATTGCAGACATCCCATTATATTAGAAATAAGACCGGTATACTTGTGTGTCTCTATTATTCCACATTATCTACGAAGTTCTATCTAATGTAGTAACACTTTAAATATTGGAAAAGTAAGTTGATTTCCAGATTATATAACTGCATGATTAGAAAATACAAAAGACATAAGTAAAAAGTTATAACAATCATAAGTATTTAGTAAGGTGAGCAGATACAAGATAAATACACAAAAGACTAACTTTCCTTTATACTAACAATAATAAGTTAAAATTAAGTAGAAGAGAAATAAGTTTCTGAGACTATGAAATGCAAGAAATAAATTTAACCAGAAAGATATAAAATGTAGGTGAAGAAAACTATAATATGCTCTTGGACGTAAAACAAGACCTACACGAACAGATAAAAAAGCCTTATTAAAGAGCAAAATGAAATATAATGAATGTACTTTTAATAAAATTCTTGATGAGAGACATATCTGGAAGAATAATATATAAGGATTTATGAAAAAAACAACATTCAAAAAAAACTAGAAAGGAGATTTCCCCTACTACATGGCAAAACATACTACAAAACTGCCATGATAATATATCACTACTACTACTGTTATTAGCAGCTAATACTGAGTTTCCTATGTTCTAGGCACTCTGTAAGCACTTTACATGTAATGTAATTCTCACAATGACGATATGAGATCTGTATTTTTTATTATCTACATTTTAGAAAAACTGAAATATTAAGAGACTGAATACTTGATCAAGGTAAATAAACATTTACTGAATGGCCAATCTTTACAAGTCTATTCTAGATGCTAGAAAGATGGCCATTAGAAAAATAGATAAAAGCTCTTACTTTCGTGAAACTCACCTCCTAGTGTAAGGAGACAGAAAATAGCAAGAGAACAAATAATTTCAAACTAATAAAGGTGCGGGAAAGAAAAAAAAACTGGGCGACACAAAAGAGACAACCTAGATGGGGAAGTTGGGGAGGGGCCTACCTTTATCAATGTCTAAGAAGCCAACTCTGAAAAGAACAATTTAAGTTGAATATCAAGCTAAGAAGAGGGCAGCCATGTAATAAGCTTGAAGAATATTACAGACAGGCAGAAGAGGAAAAGCCATGAGTTGGCACCAGATCAGAATGTCAAGGTATAGAAAGAAGGCCAGCAAGACTGGAGAAGAGGGCACAAGCATAGAACAATTAGAGGGTGTTGACTGCAGGGACACCCTGGCAATACCTTTTACAGGACTCTATCCCACAGCAGTAATAGCTTGTACACATAAAATTTTGTGATAGTTTGTAAAAACAAATGACTGGGAAAAGCTAAATGTTGATCATTTGGGGAACAGTTGAATAGAAGATCGCATAACATATACCACACAGTTAATGAAAACAGTCAACTGGTATATGCAATGGCCTGGAAAGATGTCACAGATACAGTATTTGGAAAAAGCCAATCAATATATATGACATAATTCCATTTTTCTTAAATGAGACTCATGAGCTATGGCATCGGGAATTTTAACTCTAAGTCTGGTCCTGGAAAAATTCCACTTTGTTTCCTCCTGCTCCAAGCAAATGTCCTCCTCCATACCATGCTCCCGCTCCTTTCTCTAACTCATTCCCTGCCAGCATTTCAGCTCACCTCAGCCCATTGCTTGTTTCTTTACCTGGAAACATGAACAGCATTACAAAAATTTTAAGAGCACAGAGAAGAACATTTTCTTATAACTAAAAAATTAACACAAAAGATGCTAAATAGTTTTGAAATGACTGAATCAGTTTAATGATTTTTGAATAGCCAGGTGGCATCATAAACTTAATCTATTTAAAAACCAGAAATCACATTATTATGAATAACTAAATATTCAGTTGCCTGTGATACTAGCAAAGATGTAAATGAGTTATTCTTACCTCTACTTTTGTTCGATAGAGAACAAGTCGTTTAAGGCCACATAATTTGGCAATATGGTTGAAAGCTTGAGGTGGTAGCTTATCACAGGATGAGAGATTTAACTCCTGTAGATGTGGACACATCTCAGAAATAACCTCCAAGCAAGTTTCATTTAAGAAGTGGCTGCAAGATAACTCAAGGCGCACCAATTCGGATCCACAAACCTTCAGAAACCTGTAAAAATAATGTTCTCTGTGAATTTTATAAAGCTAAAAGTATTTCTGCAAGTATTTGGAATTATATCAACTCTAAGCAGACACCTTCAGAAGAATGGATTCCCATGAGGAAAAATGTAAAACTTGTTTCACTCAAATCCTCACTTACTACATACTAAAATAGGCATGGTTAGGCTAAAATAAAGTAACCTGAGAAGATAAAATGGACTCATATCACAAAAAACTTCAACTAATGCTAAGAGAAAAATTAAGAAAGCAGAGTATGTGTTTCTCCAACGTACATGACATTAGCATCTAAGTTAGTAGAGCCAAAAAACAAAACATAACAGAACTCTAAACTCTTGGAAGGTATTTCTCCCCACACAGCACCCATTCAACACTGGATAACTTATTTTGCATGTAGTATGTACAGTGACAGTTTTAATTAAATGACCTCAAAACAAATCAGACTAGCCTACTCTTACTGGGTTAGCTTAACTGTACTGCTGTGATATGTTCCTTGTAACTGTTACTATTTAGCAGTTGGACTGACACTGAAATTACTACAAGATATTCAATTGCAGCTTCACATAAAGTACACAGAAACAATTCAACCTGGAGGACCCAAAGTTCCTTCTCAGAATAAAAATAACCATCTTTATCTTAGTTACATTACAGATAGGGGAAAACAGTCCTGACCATAATCATCATCTGAAAAATAATCTAAAAGTAAATGTGAGTCTAGGAGTATTTGAATCCATGAAACTATCAGCTAAGCAAACTGAATCCTTAAACAGTACACCCATCATCCCTATCCAGATCTCTCGACATCCTCTTGCCTAGTCAGTGTCACATTAGTTACATACTATTCATTTATTTATGCCAATCTCTTTCCTAAATGATTTAATGATTAAAACATATACAAAATAAAACTGACTAAATCAATCACTTAAGTAAGTAAAGGAAATAACACTGGACTTCTAAATCAAAAGTTGGATTTTTTGTCCCGTTCTCCTACTTCCTAGCATGTAACCTTGGAAAATGCACTTACCCAACATTTCCTCGCCTGGAAAAGACAGACTAGAATTATCTAATAGCACTCACCACACTATCTCATGGTTTTGAACATCAAATAATATGTGAAAACAGTTTGGAAAGGTCAAAGCACCCCACAAACACTAAAATGAAAGTTATATCTTGGACAACTCATATTCAAACAATAAAAACAGTTGCTACAAATTTATTTGATCAGAACTGTTAAATGAATCTTCCAATTATGAAAATTCACTTGAAGAATTTAAGTTCCCCCTATGCTTGGATAGACAAAGTTCTACGAATTCAGGGTATTTTTCCCTCAATAGGGTCAAATTACTCCCAAGGAATATGACAAAATTAGCATTTTTACCTTTTTTTGAGTATACTTAGTTTTGGGTAGTTCTTCATCCTATCTAATAAAGAGGGAATATGCTAATTGACCCTCACACCATCACAAAGATGGCAGCGCCCACAGCCAAAAAGGAGGGAATATGCCAATTACTGTCACACCCTCAAAGATGGCGGCGCCCAGTCCCCTCAGCCCACCGGGGCAGCAGGCATGCGACAAGGCCAGGCCTGCCTCATGCGCCTGTCTCCCGAGAACCTCAGTCCCCTCAATCCCCCAGCCACCTAGGGCCGGCCCGAGGCCCAGGCAAGCCTTGGATGGTGGCTGTCCAGCTGCCCAGCTGCCCGAGGAGCTCAGGTAACCAGAGCCAGCCGAGGCTTGTGCTTCCAACAGTGGCAGCAGCAGAGGTGTGATGGGGCGTCACCTGCCCCGGATCACCAGGTCACCTCCCACCCCTGAGGGCTCCCAGACTGTGAGAAGGAGCAGGCTAGGCTGAGGGACTGCCCGCCTCTCCAGTGCATGAATTTTCATGCACTGGGCCTCTAGTGTTTAATAAATGCCTGGCACCCCCTCAAAGATGGCGGCGCCCAGTCCCCTCAGCCCACCGGGGCAGCAGGCATGCGACAAGGCCAGGCCTGCCTCATGCGCCTGTCTCCCGAGAACCTCAGTCCCCTCAATCCCCCAGCCACCCAGGGCCGGCCCGAGGCCCAGGCAAGCCTTGGATGGTGGCTGTCCAGCTGCCCAGAGCTGCCCGAGGGCCCAGGGCCAGCCCGAGGCTCAGGTAACCAGGCCTGGCCGAGGCTTGCGCTGCCGGCAGTGGCAGCAGCAGAGGTGTGATGGGGGCGTCGCCTTCCCCTGATCACCAGGTCACCTCCCATCCCTGAGGACTCCTGGACTGTGAGAGGGGGCAGGCCGGGCTGAGGGACCCCCCTCCAGTGCATGAATTTCATGCACTGAGCCTCCAGTTATTTATAAACTAGCAATCTAGTAATAAATGGACATAAAGTTTCAGAGAACTAATGATATCCTATTTTGATTTGATACTTCTGAAATTAACTGCAGCTCACAGAAGTTAAATGAGTATTTAACTCTCTTAAAATTAAAATGTTTAAGCATCTTATCTCTTAAAGGTCTTCATTATTTAGAGAACAAAGCACTTTGTTCTACAATTCTTTTTCATATTGGATTTGGGATACTTTAACATCCCTTTTCTCCTTGCTCTCATTGTTGAACTTTTCCCTCTAAAGAATTTAGAGTGACATCAAGCCAATCAGCAGAAAGCCAACTGTAAAGAGACTAGAAAACTTGCCAAACTGATGTAATGAATGACAGGATTTGAAAGCACAATAATAGCCATGCCTATACTGCCTTTATGTCTCTCTTTTCCTTTAGTGCATATTTTCACTCTGAGCAGATTATTTGGTCAACATCCCCAGTCACTCTTCCTAAATTTACAAGATCTACATTACCTACTTTTTCATAACATGTCCATTCCAAGAAGGCAGAAGTAGCAGCAGACCCAATTAATTAGCTGAATATAACTCATTTCCTTCCTTAATGCTGCTCATGTACATCTTATTTTAATGCATAATTACATAATGTTTTTGTCTTGATCCTCTATTTTTCATCTCAATTGTGATATTGGTCACCTAAACAGAGAACTACAGCTTCCTTAATTCCTACAGCCTATTCATTCCAGATTATGAATTCTCATAAAGTATTTCTTGATTTGAAGGTATTATGAGAAGACCTAGGTTCAGATAAACAATCCCAAACTAGGTCTCCTGCTATAAGAAAAGGAGTCTCTGGAGAGAGAAATAAATTGCTTATCCTTATGAGGTGAATTAATTTGTCCAGAGTAATGTAAACACCTAAGAAGTAATTTACTAAATTGTAACTTGCATCCTAAAATAATTAACATCACATGAATGAATGATTTAATCTGAGTTTACTCATCACAAAATAAAAGGCACTAATCCCCACAATCCTCCTGATATAGAAAGGTAAGGGGAGAATTAGATACAAATATCCATCGCCCCTGATTCCTAATCTTATGCTTTGTTAGCTGACCCTTATGGAGTTTTATAAAATAGCACATTTAAGATCATTCTTAATCTCAAATAACTTGGAACATTATTTATTACATCTGGTCCAAAATAAAGCCATTAAAAACAAGACTTCCTGCCTAACTGTGTATAGTATTATCTGGTAATAGTAGAAGAAAATCAGTAAGTAATCTCTAATCTCTAGATATTGACAATCAAAAAGAGACAACTGTTTGAAGTACAGGCAAGCAATTGAATAAAATAATAAGTAAATAGGTAGTAAGTTCTTTATCCCATAAAACTGAAGCTCTGTGTCAGACATCTAATAAAGTTCTTGAATCTAGAAAGTGTTCAAGAATGTTTCTGAGGGAAACAAGTGGAGGGTTAGGGTAAAAATCTCTGCCTAACTGAGATGGAGATCAAGGTGATCAGTTTGGGTAACTATTTGAAGAAAAACAGTACCTAGGCTTTTGAACATCAGAATGATATGATTAAGGAATAGCCAAGACTTTAGGGAACTGTATTATAAAAGAAAAGTAGAATTATAATATATGTGATTTTTATGAATAATAATTGCATAAGCAGTACTTGAAATTGCAAATCATAAATCTGTAGCTAGAATAGGATTTTAATAACTGATTAAAAGTTTTAAATTCTTGTTATTCCAATTTAACCTATTTCCCTGCTATTTTGAATAATATGAATTCCTAAAAAATTCTTTAAAATCCAGTTAAACAGTTCCAACTTGTGAGGATTAGGTTTTTAGGCAACAAAAATAAACTGTATCAAACTTTTCCCACAAAGACTTGCTAAAATAGCAGCTCATCATCATTGGTCTCTAGTCTAAAAATGTACTTTTGTCTTTAAAGTATTATAAATAAGTCTTCTTCACAGTAATGAGCACAAATAGGCCAAACTTATTCATAGGTTATTCATTAATAATCAAGCCATGAATATTTATTGTTTATTCTGGGAATGCTGCCTACAAGCCATAATGACTATCAATTCAGCAGTCAAGTCATGGGGGCCAACAGCAATCAGGAGGCAAAACTCCAGCATCTTCTGCACCCCCAAAAAGATTCCCTCCCTGTTATTTAAACATTTTTTTTCTTATGGGAACAATGACTATGCTTAAAGGAATGCCATCAAGATTTATGGTTTTACTGGCTGAAAACTACAGTAAAATATGGAAAACTTAAATTTATGTATGTGTACTTTTGTGATTATTCAAACAGCCCCACAGCAACTAACATGGCTGGATTGAAAATGAAACAGAAATTGCTGGTGAGAAAGTAGACTGGAGCTTTAACCTTGTAAAAGAAGATCTTTAGTCATTATGAGTCTAAAATTTTAAAAATAGCATTCCTAAGTTTTCTTCTCACAACTTATGTTTCTGCTCATGCATCAGAATGAGTTACATTCAGAGAGTTTTCAAAAACTGATTTAATATTACCTTTACCTTTTACTCATTATAACATTTTTATAGGCAACATTTTGCCAAAGAAGCTGGAGTTTAGCCATTCACTACCAATGTTTCCTTTAATGTCTATTTAAAATACCAGAAAGGTCCTTATAATGTAAAATAATGCTTACTGACACCAACTGTTCTATCTGCTCTCAGTTTGTTGGTTTATAATCCATAGTGTATGCTCTAAATACCCATAATCATCATTAGCTTCAGTTCTTGATCCTATTAGCAGAGAGGAAAATTTGTGAATGAAGTGTGAGTTTGGGCAAGGGTGAGTAGAAAGGACTAAAGAATGTTCCACTAAATACTTGTCATTCTCAAGCAACTTAAAAAAATTCACCGAAACCACACTATTAAAAGAAATGCTTTATTTTTCTACTACAGATATTTCCTCCTAATGAAAAAGAATTTGGTGTACATAGCATGTTATAAAGTCTTTAGAATCTCTGACCCACAATACCATAATATTTTATCAAAGAACCCCTTTCCCTGGCTCTATTTATGGCAGAAAAGACAGGCAGTCAGTACATCCATGGTTTCAACATGTGTTAATAAGCTATTAAATGCTTGTGTAAATTTTTCACTTCATTGCATAAACTATCAATATTAGCATTTTGAACACACTTTTAGTATTTAAAACATTATTATTGTATGTGAATATAATGGTATCAAATATTTATTTTATTTTATGGAACTTCATGCTTATTTTTATAATGTAAGTCAAGGGGAAATAAGGCTCAATATATAAATTTCTAATTCATAAACCACTGTTCAAGAATGTGGCCACTAGGGATGTGTGTCGGGAGAACTGAAGTTCATTTTTAACTTCGAAAAACAGGGTAGGAGAGTATTCATTAATAAAAAATAATGGGTAGTTTTCCCAAAGTTTCTACTTGTTCATTATTTAGCTTAATGAAATGATGGGATTACATTGTAGCACACTCTGAGAATAACCATCATCAAGGTTAAGAGAAAAACACCTATTTGTACCATAAGAAAAATTACCATGGCATTACTAAATGAATATGCACTGATGCAAGCTTTACCATGTTTAACAGGTGACATTTAATAGCAAAGAAACTAAATGCTTAAATAGAAAGGAGCAGAAACACCTGGGCAGGTCTGCAAGTGTGGTCGCCTCGTTAGCATGCAATTGCATTTTCAACATAATTAGTTTAAATGTGCTTCTAAATTTGGGTGATGTATTGCACATGTAATTAAGATTTAATTAAAAATGTTCTATAATAAATTGTTTTCCATTTCTGACAAATCACATTAGAGAGGTGGATTTTGATTGAGAAATAGTTTTTTAAATGTGTTAATCATCTGTGCTGGAAATATGAGAAAGAAAAAAAAAGGAGTTCTGTTAAAGTTATTTGGGATTTTAAAAATATGAGGTAAAGGGCATAGTTTCCCTTCCTATTATCATGAAGTGTAGCTGAAAAGGTGAAACTCATTTGCTTTTATAAGCAGAAGCATTCTGAACAGGATGATGGACAAAATATTTCTTTTTTATTTCTGTAAAGTATATGATTTCAAACTTAATTGTGGAAACTACTACATAATAAGTACAGCCTGCTGGTGAAATAATCTCAACAACTTGGCACTAACCTGCTGAATCCTGCAACAGAGATGAAGCCCCTATTGCCAGTCCAAGATAAGTTAAGCCACTGGACGAGAGTGCAGCGAGCCTGTAGAAACTCCAGGGAGGTGTCATTGAGTTTTGCCCAGTAAGGCTGCAGATTGAGGTGGATGTACTGGAGAGGGTCGTAGCAATGCTGGGTCAGAAGTTTGCAAGTCTGTGCTAATCTGCACAGGTCTGGGAGTGTAAGATGATTCAGAATCAGTTGAATGAGCTACATAAAACAGAGAAACCAATATCATCAAGAATGAAAAAGAGAACAACAGTATCATGTATTTTATAACACTATTTTCACATACTAAAAAGATCAACATTGAACTGAATTAGCCAAAACAGAAGAAACCATACCTACTTAAGACTTAATTACGTTTCAAAATGTTCAAAGTACACTCAGCTCAAGTCGACTAATTTTTTTTTATAATGCAAAGATGTATTTTGGAAATCTGCTGAAAACTACAAATTTTCATAGATTCAATATTTACTAAACATCTACTATACATCAAACACTGATGATAGAGAGAAAAGAGTTCCCACTTTCAAAGTTTTCAGAGTCCAGTGGGGACTGGTAAATACAGTGACATGTTTGAATAGCTTTGATAGAGAGAAGCACAGGCTGCCACTAGAGCCTAACGCAAGACAGGGGCCTCACCACAAAATGAAAGAGGACTTGTATCAGGAAGGTTCAGCTTTAAAGGGTGAGAGGCAAACTAGGTGAAAAGACAGACAGGTCTTTCTCTGACTGGCTTATTTCAGTTAGCATAATACTCTCCAAGGGGAAAAGTAACCTAGAGATAATTTAAAATATATAAGAGGGTGTGTTTAGGTTACATGCAAATACTATGTCATCTACCTATATAATAGAGGTATATGCAAATTAGCCCAGACGCCCTAACATCACGACAAGACAACAGGGACCTGAGACTGCATGGTGCCTGGCTGGAGTGAGGGACCTCAGGGCGCGCCCCCCACCCCGGTGCCCCCCTGCCCTGGCGCCAGGCCTGGAGACATCAGGCTGCGCCACCCACCCCAGCGCCAGGCTGGGGGACCTCAGGCCATACCCCCCACACGCAGGGCCTTCGCTCCACCACAAAGATGGCAGCACCCACAGCGGAGACGGGGTTTCCATAATACAAGGTGGCTGCACCCACAGCAGAGGCCGTGTTCACGTAATGAGCCTTAACTAGCAATCAGCAGGGACCTGAGGCTGTGCCCCCCACACCCCCGTGGGGCTTGACAGGGGACCTGAGGCTGTGCCCCCCACCCCAGCGCCAGGCTGGGGGACCTCAGGCCATACCCCCCACACGCAGGGCCTGACGGAGGAACTCAGGTCATGCCCCCAGCACCGGGCTGGGGTATCTCAGGCCATGCCCCCTGCCCGACAGGGCTTGATGGGGGACCTCAGGCCGCGCCCCTTGCCTGATGGGGCTTGATGGGGGATGTCAGGCCGCGCCCCCTGCCCTGGCACTGGGCCGGGGAACCTGAGGCTGCACCCCCCGCCCAGATGGGCTTGATGGGGGTGGGGTCTGTCGGGTCTGGGTCTCCTGCGTTTTTGAAGCGCGTGCAGGTGGTGGGTGGGGACTTGACGCTAGGTCCCGTGGCACACCCAGACTCTGACAGGAGGGAGATTTTCATATACATTTTACTAATTTTCTTTCATCTCTGACACTTCTATTATAGAGAAAGGGCAAATAGCAATATTAAAATATTTCCTCTAATTAATTCCCTTTTAATATGCACAAATTTCGTGCACCGGGCCACTAGTTTTATATAACGGACTTGAGCATCTGAGGATTTTGGTATGGAGGGGTGGGCTGGGGGCTGGAACCAATCCCCAGAGGATACTGAGGGATGACCACACAGTCTACAGTTTTCTTTTTATGTGCCATCGTGTTAAACTGGCTTCATTAAAAACAGTGAAACTTTTATTTTTCTTTATGTTATAAAAGAGTGGAAATAGTATAGATTTATTTGTTTCTTAAATGTTTGAAAGAACTTATGAGCTATCTGAGCTCAGCAACTGTAGGACCTTAAATATTTGTAAAATGAATTAAAAATTTGTTTTAACCACAGTATTAAAGTTCATTCAGTATAATTTTTAAGCAGTTAGTACAGAGGCATTAAAAGTTAAGTATATCCCTGTATCAGAGGATACATAATTTACTTTTTCCAGATGATTTGTAATTTAAATAACTCTCAGCAATTTCTGGCATTGTTCCAAACAAAAGTCACCAATATTAAAAGATGTGTACTATGTGAAAACACTCTATGACAATTAATATTACATTTTAAGCAAATATCAGAATAGAAAAAGAATAATGAAAAGTCACTGAGACTATGACATTGACATGTGACATGTGAAAAAACACTTTTGGATTTTGATTAAATAAAAGATAACAGGTTTCAGGTCTACAAGACAACATCCATTAATCATTACTAATCTAGTGTCTGTCAAAATGTGCTTTTACATTGGAGTGTGCCGGCATAAAGTACCATTTGATACCACAGTGAATGTAGGACATGATGTGTTGGGAAGGGCTCCCAAAACACAATTTATCTGCCCTCAAACCCACTCTACTCATAATACAATTATTTTCAACTATAAAAACATTAGATCACTTGACATATTTAAATGTGATTCTCCCCCTTGAAATAATTTGCATTACCTTTAAATAATTTGGGTAACATTTTTTTTAAAGAGCTTCTCTTTTTATTCACCGTGAGATCATTCCCTCTGTACAAGGCACGCTGCTTTCATCATGGCTAATTAATGACCTCGAGGGCTACTGCTTGTATCTCCGGGTTTCCTCTACCTGACTTTGTAGTTTCGATTAAACCCTCTGCATATTTGGAAAGCTTTCCCTCTCTATTACTCCTTCCTTTCAGCATATAAACACGCTGAAAGCTCTCCCAACCTGCATCGCAAATGGAAACTTTCTCTCCCTGCTGCATCCTTTACCATACCACTCACCTATCTTCTCTCCCTTTAAAAGGTAAGTTAGAAGAGGTATACCCATAACTACATACACTCCCTCATGTTGATATGCCCTTTTTTGAGTGTGACACAAAAGGGTGGAGTGGTAGTCAGCATGCCAGTATTAGTCATTATTGGTGGACAGTCTTACCCATGTTACAGCCCACAGTTACATTATATTAACACAACTATTTTTTTTAAACATATTTTATTGATTTTTTACAGAGAGGAAGGGAGAGAGATAGAGAGCTAGAAACATCGATGAGAGAGACATCGATCAGCTGCCTCCTGCACATCTCCTACTGGGGATGTGCCCACAACCCAGGTACATGCCCTTGACCGGAATCGAACCTGGGACCTTTCAGTCCGCAGGCTGACGCTCTATCCACTGAGCCAAACCGGTTTCAGCAACACAACTATTTTTCTGCTTAAACGTAGAGACGTGGCACTTTTTGTCTCTGCTCTGTCCTCCCTCCTTGATGCCTTAACTAAATATGGTAAGGTTTTCTCATTCTCACCCTATGGCATGGCTCCATTGAACTAATCATGGTAAAGGATTATCAAAGACCCCTCAACAGCCAAAGTCTGTGGGCACTTGTTTTCTATACTTAGCTTCCTAGTATTTTGTTTTAAAGACAATCTCATATTTCTGAAGTGCCTTTTCTGACTTGTCTTCCTCTATGCGATTCTTAGATGTTAGTATCCCAGAATTCTATTCTTGGTCCTTTATTCACACTTTACAGAATTTTATTGGTCAATTTTATCTACCATTAGAGGCCCAGTGCATGAAATTTGTGCGCCAGTGGGGTCCCTCAGCCTGGCCTGAGGGATCAGGCTGAAACCAGCTCTCCAACATCCCCCGAGGGGTTCTGGATTGCGAGAGGGTGCAGGCCAGGCCTAGGGACCCCACCAATGCACGACTGCGGCTGGGGAGGGACGCAGGAGGTTGGCCAGATGGGGAGGGACCACGGAAGGGCTCCATGGCATGTCTGACTGGTCTTGCTCAGCCCCAATCAGCCAGACCCCAGCAGCAAGCTAACCTACACCTGGAGTGTCTGCCCCCTGGTGGCCAGTGCACATCATAGTGACTGGTCAACCAGTCGACTGCCCCCTGGTGATCAGAGCAGTTGAGCAGCCTTAGCATATCATTAGCATATTATGCTGGGATTGGTTGAATGGCCAACCAGACAGAAGACCAGACACTTAGCATATTAAGCTTTTATTATATAGGATGGTGCTCCTCCCCTCTCTTGAGTAGAATCACTCAAATATAAAATCAGACCTTCCTCCTGAGTTTCAAACTATTGTCCCCAACCTGAAAAGCCTGCTTTGATGAATCACAGGCACCTCAAAGTCAGAATGTCCTTCCCACCTTCACCCACTGTTTCATGATTAATGGCATGTCCACCCACTGAGTCATTTCGACCAGAAACCTAAAGTCCCTCTGTTGTTCTGTTTCATCTCCACATTCACTAGTTATCTTTGATTTCTACCTTCTACATCTCCGGAGTACTTCTCCCACTCATCTCCTTTCTAAAACTTTCAATACCCAAGGCTTCATATTCATAATTTCTTGCCCAGATTACTGCAGCAGCTTCCTAACTGGTGTCCCTGTTCCCCTTTTGGTCTATTCTTCATTTACCAACAGAGTAATCTAAGACAGAAATCTCATTTTATTATTCCCCTTTTAAAAATAAATAAAACCTTCAATGTTTCCTACTGACTACAGAAAATGTCCACAATCTTTTTTTATGTCATTACACATATGAAACACAAAGTTTACATGATGCTGAACTCCTGGGCAATTATCTAACTGTGGCCCAAAGCGTATACAAAAATGTCTGCACAGTAAAGATAATTCCTGGAATGTTAGTTAGCATTCTACACTTTGTCCTTTCTCTCCCACTCAAAAAAAAGAAAAAAAAAGAAGCCCATGAAGACTACAAAAGAATACAAGAAAGTGAGTGTGAATGACTTCCACAACTGATGTTGCTGTGTACTGGAATAACAGGGCACTCTGAGGTCCCCTGGCTGAAGGGAGAAAATGCAAACCTCTTGGGAAAACCCACAGTGCTCTCTATGATACAGCAGAGTAGGCGGGACACGGCCAAGGCTAGGATGTCCCAATCACTGTCTTCGATGGGAATGGTGTCCTGTGGAGTTCTGCAGGGAGGCAGCCCTGAGCCTGCATTCAATTTCATCTCTTATAGCTTCTGCTATCTAATCCTGATCCAGCCATACTGAAATGCTGGAGTTTCCAAACAAGGTCACACACTTTCACTTCTTAACTCTGTGCATTCTTCCCCTTCTCTCTGAACTTCCTCTCACTTATTCATTTAAATACTATGTGTCAAGCATTTTATTAGGTCTGCATAAAATTCAATAAACTGTTTAAAACAGATTTTGCTGAATTTAAATTTCTATTTTGTAGTTTTAGGAAATGGGTAAGAATCAAAGAAGTGATTTCGTTTCCTCCAGATGAACTGCTTCCACTGTTGCCAGGACAAATCCTCCTGGGAGCCCTGGGGAACAACACTGTCACTATCCCACACTCCTCTCTTTCCCCAACTCAACTCTCCCTTCATCTTCCCAGTCCCGTTTAGGGCCAGAGGGTCTTGTCCAATCCGTGAAGCTTCCTTCCCATAACACAAAGCTTGACCTTCCCATAACACAAAGCCTGGTTGGATCCTGGTCCCCTAGCTTATGGACTGAATTATCTTGGACCCTTTAATTCACCTTTATGTGGAAACTTTAGCTACTTCTCAGGAAGTAACTGAAAAATAGCATTTTAACTGTAAAATGTTACACAGGCATTATAGTTACTGAAAGGCATTCGAGAGGCTATCTTATTGTTCTACACAAGTTAAGCTACTTGTGTCATTACAATGAAACCTCAAATACCCACCAATTTGGGAGATAGTCTGAATTGGTTAAAATTTGAGGTTATAATTTTTTCTTTAAATTTTTTTATTATATTATTTTTAACCACACACAGCAGTTCTCAGCTGGGGACCGAAATGCCAGGCCCCACTCCCACCCCCAGAGGGTGTGCTACTGGCATCTGATGCCTGGGAGCCAGGGATGTTAAATATACTGCAGAAATGCCCTTATAGAGACACACAGAAAACAAGACTTTAGGTAAAGGCATTCTGTACCTGCCCAGACCAAAAATTATAGCTAGTTAGAGGATACAGAATAGAGTTGGTATAGAAAAATAAATGACACTTGGAGAAACTTTGCACTATTACATAGAATAAGCATTCCTCTTACAATCTTATTAATCCTCTTATTTTTAATTACAAATCATCTTTAACTTAACTGGTATAAAGTTAAGCACATATTGTCCATATTTATATTGTATAATTATGAATTGTAGTGGAGTATAATTTATTGCTGGTTTATGTAGTTTGCTTATTTTTAATCAGTGATATAACAAAGTATTTTAATAGTTTATCCAAAATTATTAAAGTCAATCCAAAACCAAAGTGGTGAAATTACTCAACATAATTTTGTCTAGTTTTTTCAAAATCAAAATATACATCAGGTTATGTACACCTTACCAATACTTCTATTTCTCTAGTATCTAGCAAAATAAATATTAATACCTAAACTTTAAAAAATTATTGTGTTATTTGCAATATTGCTACTGAATAAATTTGACTTACCTCATAAGGTAGTTTGTCAAAATATCCATTATTTGGCCCTTCCCTGAGGGCAGTGCTGCTAAGCTTTTTGTTAAGATTGTCCATTCCACAATCATCGTTTTCTTCATAGTCATCATCTTCTAGATCATTCATGTCAATAAGTGAAGTCTTGAGAGAAAGTACTGGCTTGTCCTTCATACCATGCAATACAACTGCATCTAATTCAGTGTAATAATCCAGAAGAGAACTATTTACTTCCAGCCGTATAAGATTTGTGGGAAAATTTATCTGCTTAATACAAGGTTTAAACTGGCGAGCCTGGGAAGCATTCACCTTCGTAGGTCTCTCTGACCAAAGAATCTCCCATCTGCTAAAGAAAGAAACTTCCCTATAATAGAGTTTAGAATGAGATTTATTGTTACCTTAAGGTTATGGTCCCATGCCCAATATGTTACAGTGTGAAGCAACGACATTAAATAAGGTGAAGAGAATCAAATACAAGTACTGTTTCCAGTACATGAAAAAAAAACGTTAAAACTAAATGCCATAGACCTTATTACTTAAATATTTTTACTACTTAAGTTACTTTTACAACTCCCTGGAAAGTCTTTTTTGGGGATTTCACATTGGAATAGGTAGTTAGAAGTATAGGAAGAACATGCATTTTTCTAGAAAAAGCAAAGCAAGAATAAAGCACTTAGGATAAATAAAGCTCTCCTGAGTGCATGTCTTCAACCAACTGTGAAAACTAAACTGATCATCTTGCCTCACAAACGTCTCTTTTTCCAGCTTTCCCATTTCTGTTACTAATATCATACAAAATCAAAACTTTCATTATCTTTGATATTTTTATCCACTCATTGTTTTTTTAAATTTTCATGAAATTGTCTTACATATGTCCTTCTAAATTGCCATTACCTGAAATACCCACCAATTTGGAAGGGAGATAGTCTAAATTGGTTATACAATACTAGAGGCCCAGTGCACGAAATTCATGCACTCAGGAGGGGGGTCTCTCAGCCCAGCCTGTGCCCTCTCACAGTCTGGGAGCCCCACAATCGATCGCCCCAAAGAGGCAGGCCCTGCCCACTTAGCCAGGGCTCCAAGATGGATCGCACCCACAGAGGGAGGCCCCGCCCACCCACTGCAGCCCACTGTTCAGTGGCTTGGGCCTCGCTCTTTGGGGCAATCTTGGGGCCCCCCCAACTGATCGATTGGAAGGTCATCCGGACAATTGTTTGCGCTGTTCTGCTGTTCAGTAGATTTGCATATTACGCTTTTATTTTTATAGGTCCTTCTAACTAGCTGTAAATTTTGAGTTGGGGAAAGAGAGAAGTGTGGAGTAACCAGGCACCCTGAGGGCCACTGGCTTAAGGGATAAAATGCAAACTTCTTGGTAAAACCCACAGAGCCCTCTATGATACAATATCCTACTAAACTAGCTATAATTTTTGGTGTAGGCAGGTACAGAGTGCCTTTACCTAAAGTCTTAATTTTCCTTTTAGTCATACTTATACCCACAGTACTTAGCAAGTATCTAACACATAACGATGAATAACATTTTCTCCGATTTCTCCCAAATGCACCCCTTCTTTACTGCCAGATTAATCATTACTTTCCAGAAAATAAACTTATTTCCAACTTTGTGTCTTTACTCATGTTGTCTATCCCCAGTGAAATACCCAAACTACAGATTATTCTATTTTTCAAGGCCCAACTCCTAGTCTATCTCTTCATATAAGTCTTCTGGTTTTTTAAAATTTATCTTTATTTTTGAAAGTATTACAGCACATACGTCTTCTTAAAAAACTATTTTCCAAAATTACTTAAAGATTTCTTATAACATATCATCATTAAGTATATACTAGTATAATATTTTCATATTTATGTCATATGTAACCATTTCTCTAATATTGTTTTCTAATATATCAGAGAAAGTTAGAAATATAGAACAAAATACTTCAATAAACACCTTTCCTTTATTTCTAATTTACTTTAGGTAGCAGAATTTTTTAACACAGATTTTATGTCAAAGACTAACAATACTTTTAATTCTCTCAATATATACAACAAACTGCTTTCAAAGAAGCATATGCCAATAGTATATAACAATGACCAATGAAATCATTATTTATGTTTAAAAATAATCTCTACTTTCATAGAGAAATAGCTCTGTATTACCTAATAAACTGTTTTATATACTTATTAATCATATGAGGATTTTCCCCTTTGGTATATTGCCTATTCATTTAAGGAAATGAACTATTAGATCTAAGTAAAAACTGATAATGGAAAGGTGTTCAGGAAATTGAAATAGACAAAAAAAATATGAAACTCAGGGGAGAAATCTATAGAAGTCATCCACATACAGGAATCCTGATGGTCTTCAGGCCATGAAGGGAGGAAGAAGGGCAACTATGGTAATTTCTAACTTTAAGAATAAAAGCTTAAGACAGAACCTCAATGAGGATTTTAGCAAAGATAACACTAATCATAACAATAGGAACTTTTGCAGTTTCTAGAAACTTTATAACCCCCCATATTTGCTAGTTTTGTTGATTCTTTACTGAAATTAGTAATAAACCCATCAAACATAAAGAACCTGTTACTATTTGTATTCAGAAACAACATTTGTATCCAGAGATTGTTCCCACTCTATAACCAGTGTTGAGAGGCAGGGGAAGAATTCTAAGGAACAGAGCTGGTTGTGGCAGATTTAAAGAGAAAAGGAAAGCAGGGTAGGCATTTTCTTCTTCCTGTGACAAGGTAGGAAAGCAAGTCTGGAATGGCAGTCTAGACCTAAGACATGCTCCCAAATGTTAACTGCAAAAATCTTGAGGGTTCTTAACAATGCAATTATTTGAACACTCTACTGTAAATCTCTGTGGTTAAACAGTGCGAGCCATATAGGTACAAGGGAACAGAAGTATTAAACATTTAAAACCATGTTGGTGGGAAAATGTATTCCTACTTCTGGACAGTGTATTTCCAAAAATCGTGAGGTAAATGGTGGAATGCATGAGAAAATTCAAATTTTGGTTTTACGCATCTTTTTCTTGCTCCTGTAAAATGGTATCAGATGATGCTGGAGGAACGACTCATATCCAAGAAATAAGGACCACTCAGGAATCTGAAATAATTGCCTGTACTGGTTCACAATACATGTGGACTAAACCAGTCTAGTTTTTAGCTTCAGTGAGTTTTTATAAGGCTTAATAGAAACACTGAAAATTTAATACAGAAATCACCTCTGCCAGGTCCTCTGCAATAAATAATGAGCATGTTCTTCATGTATAGCTTGATTTGCAGTATAATGTAAATTACACTATAAAAATCACAAATATAAGCTTAAAGAAAAGCAGTGATTAGAACAGAAATATACTATTTTAATAATGTATTAATCAAAATAGTCATGGAGATATAAAATACAACATAGGGAATATAGTCAGCAATATTGTAGTAACTATGTATGGTACTATGTGGTATTAGAAATATGGGGGAAACACTTTATAAAGTAAATGATCATCTAACCTCTATGCTGTACACCTGAAACTAATACAAAATAATATTAAATGTAAAATATAACTGAAAAATAAAATTTAAATTAAAAAAAAATAGCCCAGGCTGGTATGGCTCAGTGGTTAGAGCCTTAGCCTGCACATGGAAGAACAGTGTTAGATTCCTGGACAAGGGCACGTCCTTGGGTTGCAGGTTCGATCCCTCACCTCATTCCATCCCCCATAGGGGTCACGGCACGTGCAAGAGGCAACCAATTGATGTGTCTCTCTCAAATCAGTGTTTCTCTTTCTCTTCTCTCTCTCTCTCTCTTTCCTCCTTCCCCTCTCCTTTACACTCTCTTTGAAAATCAATGAAAAAATATCCTTGGGTGAGGATTAAACTAGTAATAATGTACTAGTCCTCTCTATCTATCTTGTAGAATAGACAATGTGAAATGATGCTTCACTTTTTTAACATTTAAAAATAGCACCCCCATTGGGGATGTACCTGCAACCAAGGTACATGCCCTTGACCAGAATTGAACCTGGGACCCTTGAGTCCACAGGCTGACGCTCTATCCACTGAGCCAAACCAGTTAGGGCATTCAATATTATTTTATATTAGTTTCAGGTGTACAGCAAAGTACTTAGATAATCCTATACTTTACACAGTGTTCCCCCTGATATTCCTAGTACCTACTGGCACCATACATAGTTATCACAATATTACTGACTATATTGACTATTTTATGTCAAAGATTAAGAATATTTTTAGGTCTCTCAATATAGACAACAAACTGCTTTCAAAGAAGCATATGCCAATAGTATATAACAATGACCAATGAAATCATTATTTATATTTAAAAATAATCTCTAATTTCATAGTGAGCTATATACTGTATGGTAGAAAGAAGTGTAGGGATTAAGAAGTACAAATTGGTAGTTACAAAATAGTCACAGGGATGTAAAGATGATGATTTAAATAGACTTCCTTAACATGTCTAGTATGTCAGAGAGTTAATATTATTTTAGCACCATTCTTGCTTCTGACTTCTATATAGCACGAACATTATATACAGGGTGAGGCAAACATAGGTTTACAGTTGTGAGTATGCAAAACAGTTTATTCTTATATTATTATTAATTATTGGATTATTTTCCATATGAACTCTAAACCTACTTTTGCCCCCATCCTGTATTTAGTTATACACATATCATAAATTATAAATATGATAGCATACTTAAAGTAGAACAATATATCCTGTCAGTTTTTAGAAATATTTAAAATTGTACCTAAACATAAAAAAACTTTCAAGTATCATTAGTTTATTTATATATTTTTTGAACTTTCTTGATAACCTACAAAGTAAAGAAAAATGATTTAAAAGATGGAAAAATTATTTTATAGGTTTGTGGCAAAATGATTAAATTAAAATTAACGATGAGACAAAACAGAAATTGATTTGGGAATACCTGAATTAAAGTGAATTTTTGTTTAAAATTCCCTGATAGAACTAGAATATATTATTTCAAAGTTATAAAGAGAAAGGTATCTATTTTATCAAACAAGAATATCACAGTATTTTTTTATTCCAGAAAACTCAAGTCAGAATTTTGAAGACTAGTGAAAACAAGCAAGCAAATGTAAACAAATGTACAAATGCGCACACAGATACATACATACACTTTTCTATGAGAAAGCACCAACTTTTTAAATCAGTGTTGATATGATTTAACTGTTTTAAGTCATGACCGTTATAGTCTGTACATTTACATGCTTACTATATATGCTCACATAATATATTTATCTACTGGACAAACCTGCCAAATTCTAATGTTCTATGTAAGTATTTTAAATCTATAGTAACACACATGCAGAACTCAGCTTGGA